TTTTTCAATATCGAAATCGAACTTTTAGCTTCTATTAATAGCGCTATCCGTTGTTATACCGTGCACGCCGGATGAGAAAAATCAAACTGAAGTTACTCAAGAAATTTTTGTAGTGAAATCCCAGCCACCGAGATCACCTCACAAACACTCATACATTTCCATCACATTTAGTAAATCAATTAAAAAGAACCTCAAAGACAATATCGAAAGCGTTCACAGAAGTGCATAAGAGAATACGGAGACTAAAAATATGACTAGAAAGGAGAAAGCACTGATCGCACACGGATAAGAAATCAGTTAAAAATACATCTACTAAAGTTTCTAAAAAAATTAACATTAAATTGTACACAAAGAACTTTAGACCTCCGAAAATTACGCAAACTAATAAAATACGAAAGTTCAGAAAACTGAAACGTAGCGAAAGAACATCGAACACAAATGATTGGGAATGGTCGCTGAAAATAAAGCTTTGCTGGAGGTCGATGCAAGTGTTAGTAGAATGTGTGTTATTGCCAGCAACAAAGTTCAAAAAGATAAATTACTACCAGAACCGAACCGAGAAAATATGTTTGATGAAATAAACACATAAATTTGAATGCTGGCATCTCTCCACAGAAATATGACAGCAATCAGAATCCCCAAAAAACAGCGAAGGATTCGTAATAGTGACTGTACAAGTATGCAACGCACTGTAATTTCTACGTAAAGAAAGTGGAGTCAGTAAGAACATTGCTGAAATTGAAAAAAACTACACAAATGAAGCAGAATTCAGTAGCCTAGGGCTCTGGCAATACACTTTTCCTTCAGCTCTAACCCAGCAGCACCACTAAATTTTCACCCATACCTCTCCACCGTTTAATCAGTCCCTTCACTGTAAACAACGATAGCTGCGTTAGCAAGTTCCACGATACAGCGATCCAGCCAGGTAACCGAATTTGGAATGATACCACTGCCTTCCAGGAAACCGAGATGACCGCCGTGTTTTGTGAGTATGAATCCGAAATGTTCATTTGTTGCAGCAAGCTCACGAACTGGCTGCCATAGGCAAGGTGGCACAAGCGGATCATCCAGTGCATTCATGAATATCTGCAGTAGTGATACAGTTATAAGGAAACTTGGACGATCCGTTAATCAAGACCCGTAGTAAGCTGCTATTTTCGTAGATATATCAGGGAAAATCGACTATGCAGTATATACCCTTATAAATTCATTATTATAAAACGCATTTCTCTGGATCATGCAGTTTTCC